GACTACCAGGCGCATGCTCTGCATACTGGAGCCAGTGTAGAAGAGTCTGTTGTCTAGAACAAGATAAAAAAAAAAAAAAAGATGAGAGTTGCTGGCTAAAGTAAATTGAAATGTCTGATAGATATTAAAGTTTGAGATCTGCACCAATATGGTACATTTTTTTTTATTAATTTGTTTATCAAGAACACATATAGACTTACATACATTGCATTGTATACAACTTAAATGACATATTTTCTCAGATATTTCTTTCACAATATTTTTTAACTTTAACTTATCAAACAGAAGACAGAAAAAAGAGAAAAAATAATAATAAATTAAAAAAATAAAAATAAATAGATAAATATAAGGGGGAAGGGGGGTGCTTAAATCCAATGTCTACCTAAAAAAAAGAAAGGAATAAGTGTCGGATTCTTTTCAATATAGTCGCAGGATGGGCAAGTTGCTTCGCATTAAGGAAAAGATTTGAGATATTCCAGAAAGGTTTCCACTTGTGGATAAATTTTGCTGAACTACCCTTCACTGTGAGTGAGATCTTATCCACCTTCAAAAATGTCCGGACAGTGTTAAGCCATTGCAATGTAGATGGAGGCGTGGGAGATTTCCAAAGAAGTAAAATACACCGTCTAGCAAGGAGGGAGCAAAAGGCCAAGATCTCATTTTGCTGGGGAGTTATATTAAGAGGCGTCATCGGAACTCCAAAAATGGCTATTAGAGCGTCCTCTCGGATTTGTGTTCCAAAAACCCCCGAAAGTACAGAAAAGAAATCACTCCAAAACTTGTTCAAACTCGGACAGAAAAAAAACATATGGCTTAAATTACAAGGGGAGATGTGACACCTGTCACATTGGTCTATGATTGAAGGAAACATCTTAGATAAACGAGATTTTGAGAAATGGACTCTGTTTATCACTTTAAATTGTATAAGCTGTAGCCTAGCACATGGTGTACTTGAACGCATGATGAGATTCACCTTATCCCACCATGATTCACACAGTTCAAGACCTAATTCATGCTCCCAGGCAGTTCTGATTTTACCTGGTGAGTTAGATTCAGTTGCCATAAGCATACAATATATACTTGATAAAGGTGATTTTTGATTAGGCCTAGCAAGCAGGAGGTCAACCCACGGAGGATCAGTGGGGAGAATCGGGAAATTTGGAAACAGTGATGAGACACAGTGTCTAATTTGAAAATAGAGAAACAAGTGAGTGGAAGGTAGGTTAAACTTTGAGGATAGCTCTGAGAAACTAAGAAAGACATCATCTCTGTAAAGGGCTCTCATGGACTTTATGCCTCTTTCGTGCCACATCAAGTAGGCGGCGCTGGTGGTGGCAGGGGAAAATAGATGATTCCTTAACAATGGTAATCTGGCAGAGGGGGATATGAATTTAAAATGCGACCTGAACTGAAACCATATCTTAAGTGTAGAGATCACTACGGGATTCGAAGCAACAGAAGATATTTTAACAGGTAGTGATGAATAGATAAGAGAGGCGGGTGAAAAATGTGAAGAAATAGATTGAATTTCAAGTTTACACCAAATCAGATCAGGCAAATTTAACCAGTAGGTCAGCTTATGAATATGCGAAGACCAGTAGTACATTAAAAAATTTGGTAGGGAAAGACCCCCATTAGAAGTAAACTGTTGTAATAAAGAAAGCCTAAGTCTAGGGGCTCTTCCCTTCCACAAAAAAGAAGAAACCATCCGGTCCAGAGACTTAAAAAACCGCATGGGCAAAAATAAAGGGATACACTGACATAGAAAGAGAAATCTGGGTAGCACATTCATTTTGATAATATTAATCCTGCCAATTAATGACAGTGGGAGGGAGTTCCACCTCTGGAAATCTAACGTAAATTGTGAGAATATGGTACATTTACCTCCAATTGCAATTATCTTTAAAAAATATATAGGCTATATATATGATTTTGTATTTACGACATTTTTTAATCTAAAATAAGACCACACACCAAGATATAGACCTATATATTACAGACGATGCTACACTGATATTACTCGTTACACCCTCCTGAATCAACGCAGGTGTCATGCAACTTTAGAACAATAACGGAGAGTCTGTACCCTCAAGCAGCAAGGGCAGCTGTAGACCATGATAAAAGATCATCTTTAATTTTCGTACTTACCTTTAAGTTTGTAATTAGGCTCCATTCTTCTTATTTTACGGCACTTTTGTTCAATCGCCGGAAGCTCTCCGTTGAGGAGAAAAGCATGAATTTCTTTGTATACGGAGGTATCCATTGTTTAAACGTCCCGCGGTCGGTAACTGTCGCAAAGTTGGCAAAGAGAGGCATTACATTATTAAACAACGATTACAAAATTCTTGCTTCAGTAATAGTCAAACGACTAAAATATGGAATTAATGACATTATCCATGAAGCCCAAAATGGCTTCTTACCTGGACATCATATTTCAAACAATTTTAGATTAGTTTTGGACTTGATTAATTATAATTATTTACTCTCTGGGGACCCAGTTATTCTTTTTTTAGACTTTCAAAAGGCATTTGACACAATTAACCATGAATTTATATTTGATACTTTAACCTTCTTAAACTTTGGTAATTTTTTCATCAAAGCAGTGAAAACACTTTATAGAAACAACAATAGCTCAGTCAAACTCATGTGTGGCACATCTCAAAGATTTAACGTAGAAAAAGGGGTGCACCAGGGTTGCCCAGCCTCCCCTTATATCTTCTTGCTAGTAGCCCAAATATTAAACTATTTAATACTACAATCACCTTTGATGGGAATACAAATTTTTGACAAAGAAATCAAAATCTCGCAACTAGCAGACGACACTACTTTGTTTCTGCAAAATACTGAACAAATTCCCACAGCTTTATCTACAATATCTGAATTTTCAAAAATATCAGATTAAATCTAAATATTAAAAAATGTGAAATTCTACCCCTAAAGGACAGCTGCCAACCTGAAATATGTAACATTCCTATTAAAAATATAGTTACTTATTTAGGCATTAAGATATCAAAAAATAACAGAGAAACTCCGGACTTAAATATGCTCCCAGTGACTCAGGCTATTAAAGCTAAGTTTAATTGTTTGGCCTCCAGAGATTTTTCCATATACGGTTGAGTTCTGCTAAGCAAGGCAGAGGGAATGTCTAGAGCAGCCTATATTTTTTCAATCTTAGATATTCCCAAATCCATTTGCTCCCAACTTGATAAAATTCTTTATAATTTTATATGGAAAAACAAGCCTGACAAGGTAAAAAGATCTGTTCTCTCAAATCCAGTGGCTGAAGGGGGCCTTAATGCACTAACCTTTACCTCATTTAACCAAACTATAAAAATCAATTGGATTAAAAGATTCATTAAAAGCCCTAATAGCATGTGGAATATTGTCCCAGATAATCTATTTAATGCTGTTGGTGGACTTAACTTTCTGTTGATATGTCCTTTCTCAGTAGGAAAACTCCCAGTTAAATTAAGTAATTTTCATAAACAAGCTTTATTATGTTGGAATCTTATCTTTAAACACAATTTCTCACCTCACAATTGTATTATTTGGAACAATACATATATTGTAAACAAAAATAAAACACTCTTTCTACACAATTGGTCATTAAATAATGTAAACACTGTGAATAATCTACTAAATACTACTGGTGAAACATTATCCCATTAAGACTTCTTAGAAAAATATAATATTAATACTTCACAAGAAGAGTATAACATAGTAATTAAATCCATCCCTGCTTGTATTTTCTCTTTAGCACAGACCATACAATCAAACATTATCTTATCTGCAGCAGTCAGACCTCCAACTATTTCTGGGATTCCAATGACAGATAAGAAATGTAATAATTCTGTTATTAGAAAAGCAATTGATCCTGTCTCAACCCCGATATGTAAACATCGATGGACTTTGATGAATACAAAACTCTGGAACAGGATCTTTCTGCTACCTCACCAATATATCATTGTGAATAAGATAAAAGAAGTTTTATTCAAAATTGTTCCTAGATATTACCCGTCAAAAGCAAACATCTGTATTTTTTTTCCAAATGTTTCTGACATCTGTACTTTTTGTGGTTATAAGGGAGCAACTATTGAACATGTTTTTGTTGATTGCTTTCATGTAACTTTGTTTTGGTTCCATTTACAAAGATACATTTCCAGAAAGTTACAAAAAATGTTTCTTTAAGCAAATATGAAATACTTCTTATTGTTACTAGCCCTCATTTATCATCCAATGAAAAATGCATAATTAACTTAGTCATTATTTTAGCAAAATATTATTTACATAAAATGATTTTTCAGAAAAGTATCCCCTCCTTCTATAATTTCAGAATTACAGACCTTATGAAATATTGGAACAGCATTGAAAAATTAAAAAAGAAGAACAATAAACTAACAAAGACCATCAACTTATTTCATCATTTCAACTTAGACACAGCAGACCCCTAAGTGTTATGTTTCTAAGTTATTAATGTTTTTGTCAGTTTTTTGTTTATTTCTTGTTTTTTTTTGTTTAATAGTTTCCTAATGTTGCATGTATGTTATTGCAATTGTAAACAACTGTAAAATGTGATCCATGGATATATTGAATGTATTTTCTGAATGTATTGACAAGTTAATAAAACCTGTTTAAAAAAAAGTTGGCAAAGAGAGGAAGTGACGTAACATTCGCGCATGCGTGGTACGGATCGGGTTTCATGTACGGATCGGGCAGTGACACCTACAGCGGCTGCAGCCTGGTGCTCTTGGTTGGAGTCAGTTTGCAGCCAGGTCCTACCGTGCGCGAGACTCTGGCACTGTCCGGGTTGAGCACTAATCGCTCCTGCTGCAGGGTTTATCCGCCGCTGGTTGCTATTGTGGTTTTATTTTCGTGGTCGGATCGGAAACAATTGTGTGTTCTTTCCTCAGTTCTGGAGGTAGCAGTGTTGAGACGGCCTAGCTGTTTACTAGCATCGCGAGACTCCTCGTTGCTGCAGATGGATGGATGGTACAGTCAGTATTTATTCATTGTTCCTGTTGGAAATCTTACGTTGTCATTTGAATCTGCTTTGCTGCTGTTGCACCAAAATGTCCCCCCTTAAGGGAAATAAAGGGAATTTTCTATTCTAGGTTCACTAAATTCGTTCTGAAAGATCAGCCGCAGAAACTTGAGCAGGAGCTTTCACGTTTAAGGAAAATAAGCATCAGGAAAATGTAAAAATACTGTTTTGAATCCCCGCGATCAGCTGGACCTATACTGGGTTTGAGTATCTTTATTTTCCAATCAAATGTGATGAAGTTAATGATAGTTCTCATGTTGTTAAATCATTTCGCTTCTTCCAATGTGTCTAGCTTACCATCAAACGTATGAGCCCATCCCTGGGCCTCGAGATCCACTATCCAGCATTATGTTTTATATGTTCCTTGTTTCAACACATCTGACTTGAATCAGTGATGATTAACAGGCTGCTGCAGAGCCCGATGGGCTGCTGAGAAGGTCATTCAGTCTCTGAATCAGCAGAGAAACGTATTTAACATGCTGGGTAGGGAATCTTGAGCACATGGCATCACATTGGTTGGCTTGACGTGGACTGGAGACATGTGGCGCTGTCTGTGGCAAGCCAAAGGTGACAAAAAGTGTGCTTCCTAAACATGCATAAAAGGGAGCCACGGCTGTCAGACTTTGTTATTGGTTAAGTCTGTTTCTGAAGAGAAGGCAGCACCACATCATGATCAAACTCGCCTCTCTAACTGCAGAAGGGGAGCTCCAGATAAAAGTTCTACAAAGCTATGGCCTCAAATCTATATTGCGATATAATCTGAAGCATTTGCGGTAACGATATATATTGCAATATATTTTTCTCTGTTTATATATGTCAAAATGACATGCTTTTAAATATCCTCATGTGGCAAATATATGCCGCTTGAGGCATATAGGCCTCCTCCTCCGCCCACTCCATGCTTGCAGTCACGGCCATTCTGTTGTCCCAATGTCAGCAGGGCACACATCTTAGTGACGTCATGTGTTATCGCGGTATTGCGATATAGCCAAAAACTCTATCATTACCCAATTTTATATTGTTTCTACCTTCTATCGTTTATATTGCCCACCCCTAGTTTGTAGCTCATGAAAAGAAATTGATTACTAGATTTTGAGTGAAAGCCTCCTCCTGTCAGCAAGGGCATTGAAGATGGCTGGGTCGTTCAGCAAGACACCTGATCCCAAACACACCACCCAGGTAACAGGTGTGGCTTTGTAAGAAGTATTTTAAGGTCCTGGCCGCCTCAATCATCAAATGTTTGTAGAAATATTCCTAAATTCCTTCCTGTCAACGGAATTTAGAATTTTTGTACAAACAGTCAAAATCCTGATTTATGAAACATGTGTACGCATGTTCCTCCGCACTTTTCTGATGATAAATCCCACCTGTGTTTACTCAGGTTCTCGTGTCCGTTTTCAGTCATTTACATAAACTCAATTAACCATATTTGGTCATGCTACATCCTCAGCTCTTAAGGGGATTCCCTTCATTCTACCCAGAAAAAAAAGAACATTTTGTTGCGAGATAGACACTGGCTGCTGAAATGCAAAAGAACCAAACAAATTGCAAAGGTTATAAACGCGGTCAGGACAGAGGAGAGGTTAATATATATATATATATATATATATATATATATGTATATATATATATTAGCTTTTGCAAAATGGGCAAAAGCTCACCATAGGTCGGACTTTATTTCGTGGAGTCGGCTAGTGTGGGGGTGTGTATATAAGGCTAATGACGCTTACATAAAAGACAGTGCTAGTTGATCATTACCTGCAGTAATAACAGGAGAGGACGTGCAAACGTCGCTGCTGTGGCTGTGTTGAAATTCGCTAGTCTGGAGCGGGGCACAAACACGATACGCATTTTAAGTAGTGATGCAACGATATGAAATTTTTGGGCTGATGCCGATATTAAGATCACTGTTATGGCTGATAAATGATTTTAGCCGATACCGATATACTGACATTAATGCTTCTAAAATCAGCAGATTTTTTATAGAATGAAAATTATTAAAGCCGAATTTACATTATTATGTACACACACCACACACATTCATGGTTCTGAGAGGATTTCATTCACTGTTCGCATGACTCAACAATTACACATCACCCCCTGACCCTCTGAAACAGGCAAACAAATGGAGACAAGATGGAAAAAATATTGATTGTTAATATTGGCCGGTTTTATTTATCGAACCGATACTGAGATGTTAAAAAATGACTAACATTGGCCGATACCGATATTGATGCCGATATATAGTCCATCCCTAAAAATTATATGAAAAAATCTACAGAACCCGTAGCTTGGCTTGGTGTAAAAAATGTTAAACACAGGATTTTCATAAATAAGTTAACATAAAGAAAAAGGATCATGCTGTTTGTTTGCTGTTTAGGTAATGTGGAAGAATTAAGGTAAAGAAGATTCTGCTTCATGTAAACATAAAGGTGATGTTTTTGTGTTTCGGTGTTTCCTTTAGACGTTCAGCAGATGGTGTTTAATAAAGAAGCAGCTCCTGAAGAACTGAAGCTTGGTGTGAGTCCAATGGACCTGGAGACCCTCAACGTGAAGGAGGAAGAAGAGCCCCTTCAGGAGATGATTGAGACCACCAGTACTTCCCTCAATGCTGTTTCTTGTCAGTATGAGGAAGATGAAGGCAAAGTTCTGTTGTCACAGTTCGATCAGCACCAGGCTGCAGACGATGATCTTCCAACCAGCAGCTTCAACCAAAAGAAAAGAGAAGGTGGTGGAGAGGACAGTGGAGGAGCAAAATGTACCAGCAAGCCAGATCCAAATCCTTTTGAAGATGATTCCAACTCGTCAGAGTCTGAAAGCAGTGAGAATGAAGATGACCAGGATGGGAACATATGTGACTGTCAGCTGAAATCCTTGTCAGACTCTGAGCCAGAAACTGAAGACAGTGAAAAAGAATGGAATGAGAACGAGTCTTCTGAGTCAGATGTTAAGGCTGTGAACAAATCTTTAAGCTGCCTTGAGTGTGGTAAACCTGTTCTCCACAAAGGGTCCCTCCAGAAACATATGAGAGGTATAAGTGCCTCAGCAGCGAGGTCTTCAAACTGCCAGCGCAATAAGTCTTATGGTTGTGTTGAGTGTGGATTTTCTTTTAACGATAAATCCATATTTAAAAGTCACATGAGAGTCCACACAGATCAGAAACCATTTGCTTGTGTTGTTTGTGGACACAGATTTAGGTATAAGACACATTTGATTGGTCACATGAGAGTCCACAGTGAACAAAAACCTTTTATGTGTGATGTTTGTGGACAAGAATTTAGTGAACACACTAATTTCAACACACACATGCGAGCCCACAATGAACAAAAAGCCTTTATGTGTGATGTTTGTGGACAAAGATTTAGCCATAAGGGACAATTGATCAGTCACACTAGAGTCCACACAGGAGAGAAACCTTTTTTTTGTGAGTTCTGTGGAAAAGGATTTAGCCATAAAGCACATTTGATAAGTCATATTAGAGTCCACACAGGACAGAAACCATTTCCCTGCAAGCTCTGTGGGCAAAGGTTTACCAAAAAGCAAACTTTGAACATACACATGAGAGTCCACACAGGACAGAAACCGTATACTTGTAAACTCTGTGGACAAAGATTTAGCCAAAGGTCCAGTTTAAACAATCACATGGTAGTCCACACAGCGCAGAAGCCATATAATTGTGAGTTCTGTGGACAAAGATTTGGCCTTAAGCGAGGTTTAAACAGACACATGAAAATCCACACAGGACAAAAACCTTTTGTGTGTAATGTTTGTGGAAAAAGTTGTAACCAAAAAGCAAATCTAAACACTCACATGAGAGTTCACACAGGACAGAAGCCTTTTGTGTGTGACGTTTGTGGAGAGGGGTTCAGGCATAAAGTAAGTTTAAACGCACACAAAAGAGTCCACACAGGACAAAACACAGATTTAACTACAAGGGTTTAATTTTCACATTCTAGATTTCAGTCTTGAAACTTTGGTGGCAGTTCTTGCCCTATAGGTTAGGGGTGCTCAATCCTGGTCCTGCAGGACCACTATCAAGCATGTTTTAGTTGTTTTCTTGCTACAGCACACTTCATTCAATAGTTAAATTGTGCAGTCAGCAGTTGATCAAGCTCTGCAGATGTCTGTTAAACACAGATTCAAATCAGGTGCGCTGTAGCATGTAAGTAAACATTCTGTAATTTCCCATATTCATGTGTGGCAAATGCTCAGCCTAAGGGGATGGGTGGACGTTCCCAAAAAGAGCTGTTTTCTTACAGTGACAAAGCCCTAAAATGGCTCATTTTGGAATGTACTGATATGGTGAAGAAAAGAGCTTGTGAGATCACTTTTGGTGAGGAATTGTAAATTTTGTGTCTATACTATCATCTCTAGCTCAGGCGGTAGAGCAGGTTGTGATTGATCCTGGCTCTTGGTAGACAACTTACCTATTGTGTTTTCAGGCCAATAGGTCATTGTTTGGATTTAAGCAATTCCAATTCCTTGTTTTGATTCCTATTGATTCCAATTCATTCAAGAGGCAGGGTCCAAAAACGTCATGGTTTAAATGAGCCAGCTAACCATAGGTTTTAGTTGACTAAATAGTTTGAACTTTCACATGAATTTTGATTCTATGAACCATAACATCACCTTAATTTAGCAACATGTATTAAAAAAGCAAATAAAAATGCAGCACAATCGGTGTGATCATTTCTGACTACAACTCACAACCATAGTATGGGGACTGAAGCTTCTATACCCAGAAAAATCCAGCTGTTTTCAGTGAAACTCTCGGTCCAGCTGGGCTGGTGCTAGCCATTTGGTTGCCTTGAACACAAATGCTTTTCTATTCTATTCTGTTGCAACTATGAAAAGCACTAAATAACCTTTAAAACCGATCAATAAATATATTGTTTTTTAATCATTTTATTATTTTTAGTTTGTCTGTTTTCTTACAATTTTTGGCGCATTTTCTGTTCTACAAGCTTCAATCTTGCTTTTCGTTCCGGTAAGCTAGTGTTCCGTGACGGAAGAAAAAAAAAGACGGAACTTCCGTCCGAGAAGTAACTGCGTAATGTTTACTGTTGTTTTACTTTAAGGTTGAGAAAAGGAGCAGAGGCACTAATTGAAACTGGTTACACCCACCTCAAACATCACAGTAAATGTTAATGTTGACAACGTGGAGCCAGCAGGCCAAACAGCGACTGGATGCAGCAGAGGGAGAAATTCGGGAGCCACAGACGGAAAATGAGCAACAGAGGAAAAAGTCCCCACGACCAGCTGGACATGTCAGGTTTGTATAATTTTATTTTTCCAATCAAATGATTAAGTTAGTGGTTGCTAAATACTTTAGCTTCTTCTTGTGTGTCCGTAACTTAGCATAAAACGTAATCTTTTGTTTGGGATTTAGTTTAAAATACAAATTGAAGGTTAAGCTGAAGCTAATATTTTTGATAGCTCCGAAAGCTCAGCTGAATCAAAACAGTTCAAACACAGATAGGGTTGCCAACTCCCTGAAAAATAAATAAGGGACACCTCGCGGGCAGGGCCGGCCGCTCCAGGCCACCCTTCCCAGCGTGGTGATTTTTTGCTCTTTTTTTGTGTGTGGGTGTGAAAGGATTTTTTTTTTTTTACTATTTGACTTGAAGTTGGTTTAAGAAGATGCATATTCTTTGTGATATGAAAACATGGGAAACAAATGATCATTTAGCCATTTATTTATGGCGTGAAATTACAAAATTATTATAAGTAACAAAGGTATTTTTCTTAAACAGAAAACTGTCATGCTCAACTTTTTGTGCAAAATGACAAAAAAAGGTAGGTCTCTTTCTTAAACGGTAGCCTGTTATGCTTTACTTTTTAGAATATAAATAACTCTCTTTAAAACAACTCTGTTCTGCTTAACTTAAAATTGTATAAATTAATAGAAAACAACAGAAAGAGCAACGCTGTAACTGCACATTGAGTGCAATTAGAAAAGTGCAAACAGAAAGTCTGTGGAGAAGCTGTAAACATATTTGTGCCTCAAAGGCCTTGACTGTAGCCTACGGTTGAAGTAAAAAAAAAAAGTCCAAACTCATGAACTCAAAAGCTCAATGCTACATTATGTGAAAACAGACTATTTTCTCCATTTGTATTTCTTTTGAGATCTTGCTGCATTTAGGAGTTGTCTTTCAGTACTGCAGAGTAAAACTCTGAGCAAAACATGTCACAATTTAGAGTGACAATGAGCTCACATCTAATTATTTCAGTAGAACATTTGTTCCGCACATCAGTCCACTTATTCTTCATGAGAGAGAAAATCCTCTCTGCCAATCCAGTGGAAGATGGGATGCTGAGTACAAACGATACAACAGGCTGGATGTTGGAGAGGTCAGCTGCCTGAAGAATTTCTATACACTTCTCTGCTGTTCCCTTGGACTGCCACTTTTCCTTCTCCTGAGGTCCTTTGGTGAGGGGCTCCAGAAGGCTGGTTGCAGTGACACACTCGTCATAAAGCTCATCCATAGAGATGTTTAACCTGCCAATGGAGATAAGAAGTAAACCTGGGTTATAAGCACCACATAGAACACTTACAGTGGTAAATAAATGGAAAACATTTATTGTATATTTATTACATTGTATAGCTTTTATACAATACAATAGTTCACTTTATTTATTATGTATTTATCCATCCTTTTAGTTTAAAATTATCCAAACAACATATAAACCAAGACAAGGCTACATCGAAACTAAACACCCAAGTTAAAAAAAATAGAAAAACTAATGACAAAACAGAAACAGACAACAAAAATAATAAAAATAATAGTAAACAAGCCCCAACACAGTGTTTTTTTTTCTTCATATAAATACCTTCACTTTAACCAGAGGGTTTAAAAAAGCAATGTTTACTTACCATATCTGCTTCTGCCGTGGCCTTGTGGACGACAAACTGATCGAGGGTTCCCCGTAATTTCACGTCCTTTATGTTTTTCATGTGGCTACTACTAGAAGCATGTTGCTTGAGGTCAGTGAGTCCACCATGCCCTTTGGAAAAACTGCGCCGGTACACGGTGCAGTGCGCTTTATAGGTGTTCTCGCGCAGTTTTTCCAGCCAGGAATTTTCCTTTTCCCATTCCTCCCTGTATTTTTGAAGCCTTTTTTCTTCTTTCTCGGAGGGGTACTGTCGTCCGAGACTTGTACAGCAGTGTCGGCGTTAGTTTCCCGGTTGGCCGTGCTGTTTGCTGTCGTCTGTTTTCTTCCGGTATCTTCTCCCCAAGCGACCGTTCCTCGACCAATGAAATAAGCGGTAATCTGTATCATCATATTCGTGTGTAAGCATGCGGCCAGTTCATTGGTCACAGAGCAGGCGAAGGGCTGGCTTTCAAACAAAGCGTTAATTCCGGTAATAGACTACAGACTAATTTTGATCCATACTATATTACGGGACAAAGTGCGTCCCTTTTGAGTTCAATACGGGACGTGCACTTGTGTTTCTAAATACGGGACGATTCCGTTTTTCAAGGGACGGTTGGCAACCCTAAACACAGATGAGGTCCTACAGGTACCGTGATGCTGCCTTACTCACTGCGGAAGAGGTCACGTTCGGGAAGATGCTCATGATTAGAATAGAATCGATTTTATTCGTGAAGAATCAATAATTCATTGGTTCCGAAGGCTAAGCTGGTCGATTCTCGGGTCAGAACCTAGAATCAAACAGGGTGAAGCTGCTTTTCGCTACTATGCTGCACACAGATGGTCAGCTTCCAGCCCTGGTTAAATTATTGTTTCTTATGCTGCACCTTCTGTACTGTAACTGCTCACTCTGTACCTTTGTTCTTTTCTGATTCGTAAATTTTAAATTAGTTTGTGTATTTCATTTGACCTAAATTTACTTGTGTATTTCAGTTGTGCTGTCAGGTCATTAGAAATGTGTATTGGTGAAATTCTGGCAATGCGTTATCATGATATATTGTGATACATTCAGTCAGATGACATTATCGATTTTTTTAGACTGAATTTATTATAGGAAAATTCAATAAACAGTCCAAACTGATACTTAACATTTTCAACGTGAGGCATCTGAACCATTGTAAAGGGATTATTTACATTTCAGTGGTAGAAACAAAACCCACTGCACAATGCTGCCAACTAGTGGTCAGCGTTCGAATTGCACCAAAATAAAAGCAAAGACAAAAATATTGAGAGGGTGCTCGCTGCAGAACTACAAAGGCGGAGCTGCACCATAAGGTGGAGCTGCACCAGAGTCAGCCCCGCCCATTCACGCAAACTCAGCCTAGCCCACTGACTTCCGTTTTTGTTTTCAACTTTATCGCAAACTGACCTGACCCACATGAATTACGGCTGTTACTAGTTTACAATTGTTAATGCTATGTTCTATGCTCCAATTAAACAAGATAAATATAACTTGCTACATGACAAAGTCTGAATATATCCCGAAATAAAAAGGTTTCTCTTAGCGAATATCTGCCCACAGCCGCTCTAATAAAACTCCTGTACAACAGCATGTACCACCACCATGTGGGTTCTGTTAGTCCAGTGGCAAGGTCGTCGGAGTTAAGTTTTGCTTTCCCCTCAGCTGATGTTGGTTCGATTCTCGGTGGGGTCGGCAACAATCTTTAGCCAGCTGAAACATTTAATTTGTTCATATTTTAGTTGTAATGTTCATTTTCAGCAAAATATTTATGTCTCTACAAGTTCTTTGAATTTGGTCGTTCCTAAACAGCATTTTAGTTGAAACTCTGCTCACAGATGGACTCACACTGGCTAAATAAACGAATGAATAAATAAAAAAACACATTAGTCATTATATGTTAAACGGCATACCAATAAATTGTTGTAAACATAGTACTGGCAAGTGTAGCTAGAAATGAGGAAAATAGATTATAGGATATTTCCACTGCTGGGAGGCGAACCCGCGCAAAACTGCATGTCAACCTGACACCATTACCACTACACCACCACATCTGATAAAAATCAGGCGGCGTTACATTTTATTATGCTATCTGGTGTGTCTTTGGAGATGGGATGTATGGTTTATTGGCGGTGTCTCAGTAGAAGTCATTTCAGAAATAATTTGTCAGAAAATTCACAGAATATCCAGATTTGAGAACCAAAACCAGACCCGCTTCGGGGGAGGAGACCAAATTGAAGCTGAGATGGGAAGAAAATGCATGAATGAGGCCAAAAATGGCTTTGGCGTGTTTCTTATGAGGAAATGACAATATAACATGATTAAAAGTTCCAAAAGTTAGATTTTTAATTATATGGAACCTTTACAAAAACTGTTCAATTCACTTCTCAACTCCGTCCTCAATCTCGCATTTTTTAGCTATAACACCCTCTTTGGTTCCAGAATGCTATAAAGCCTGACAACTGGAAGGAATTGGACTGACTCTGATAGAATGGGTGGGGCTGATTCTGGAATGGGCGGGGCTGACTCTGGTGCAGCTCCACCTTCTGGTGCAGCTCCGCCTTTGTGGTTCTGCAGCGAGCACCACTTGCAAATATTTGCATGTAAATTCTCCCAAAAATTTGATACAGCTTTTGAGTATCAATTTAATATTGCATGAAATAATATCACGATATATTGCCATATCGATATTTTCTTACATCCCTAATGTTCATGCTATTCTTGTTAATGGAAAGCACATTGAATTGCCTCTGTGTATGAAATGTGCTGTACAAATAAAGCTGCCTTAACCTGGTGTAAACATAAAGGTAATGTTTTTGTGTTTCAGTGTTCCCTGTAGATGTTCAGCAGATGATGTTGAATAAAGAAGCAGCTCCTGAAGAACTAAGTCCTGGTGTGAGCCAGATGGACCTGGAGACCCTCAACATTAAGAAGGAAGAGGAGGATCCACTTAATGAGATGATGGAGTCATGTGCCACCAGCATTTCATCCACTGCAGGTTCTTGTCTGTGTGAGGAGGATGAAGACAAAGTTCTGTCACAGTTCAATCAGCACCAGGCTACTGACCGAGATCTTCCAACCAGCAGCTGTCCTGACCAGATAAAAGCTGTAAATGGTGAAGAGGACTGTGGAGGAGCAAAATGTACCAGAAATCCAGATATAAATTTTTATGGAGATGATTCCAACTCTTCAGAGATGAAAATGATTGAGAATAAAGATGACCAGGATGGGAACATATGTGACTGTCAGCTGAAATCCTTGTCAGACTCTGAGCCAGAAACTGAAGACAGTGAACAAGAATGGAATGAGAGCGAGTCTTCTGAGTCAGATGTTAAGGCTGTGAACAAATCCTTTAGCTGCCCTGAGTGTGGTAAACGTATTTTCCACAAAGGGTCTCTCTATAAACACGTGAGAGTTTCAAGTCCTTCAGCAAAAAGTTCTTCAAGCTGTTGGTGCAATGAGAAAAGTGTTGGAGTGGAACAAAATGTAGACTTGTGCAAGAAAGCCCAGGCAGAACTATCATTTAGTTGTGATCACTGTGGATTTTCTTTTAACGATAAATCAAAAATTAACTGTCACACGAGAGGACACGCGGGTCAGAAACCATTTGCTTGTGATGTTTGTGGACAAAGATTTAGGTTTAAGGCACATTTGATCGGTCATATGAAAGTTCACCCAGGTCAGAAACCACTTGCTGCTGATGTTCGTGGACAACCGTTTAGTGAAAACTCAAATTTAAACGTGCAATTCTACACTAAACAAAAAACATTTATGTGTGATGTTTGTGGAAAAGGATTTAACTGTATGCCACATTTGATTGTTCACATGAGAGGACACACAGGACAGAAACCTTTTTCTTGTGAGTGCTGTGGACAAAGATTTAGCCAAAAGTCAGTTTTAATAAGTCACATGAGAGTCCACACAGGACAAAAACCTTTTGTTTGTGAACTCTGTGGACAAAGATTTAGCCAAACATCAAGTTTAAACAGACATGTACGAGTCCACACCGGACAGAAACCGTTTGACTGTAAGGTCTGTGGACAAAAATTTAACCTTAAGGCAATTTTAAACAGACACATAAATGTCCACACGGGACAAAAACCTTTTGTGTGCGATGTTTGTGGGAAAGGATTCAGCCAAAAGACTAATTTAAACACTCACATGAGAGTCCACACAGGACTGAAACCTTTTGTGTGTGATGTTTGTGGAGACAGGTTCAGGCATAAGGTCAGTTTAAACACACACGTGAGAGTCCACACAGGAAACAAAACAGATTTAACTACAAGGGTTCCTACTGGTACAACTTAATGTTCACATTCTAGATTTCAGTTTTGTACCTCTGGTGGCAGTCCTTTCTCCTAGATCAATCCTGGATCTGGAGTGCGATTGTCTAGCACGTTTTAATTGTTTGCCTTCTCCAACACACTTGATTCATCATTAAATCACCTGTTTGGCAGTTCATCAAGCTCTGCAATAGTCTACCAATTGCCTACTGATAAAAATCAGGTGTGATGGAGCAGTGAAGAAACTAAAACATTGGCCCAATCTCAATACTCGCACTGCGCCCTGCGGTCTTCAGCAAAGTGCACTTAGAGAAAGTGCACAGTAGGCTTCGAGTGTGTAGTACACAAGTGTGCAGGTAATTGCTGAATTGAGACAGGGAGCATTGCGTCATCGATCGTAACGCATGCTGTGATGTTGGTCGCTGTGAAACCTTTTTTTAAAAACCTTTATTAACAAGTTTAAAACAAACAAAGCAATTAATTGAAATAAATTTAACTTCATTGCTGCTTTGTCTAAAACATTCAGAGCACCAACTAATCAGATTCAGATTTCAGATTTATTGGCCAAGTAAAATTACATTTACAAGGAATTTGTATTCGGTAGATGTTCGCTCTCTAAAACATACAACAACCATAATAAATGAGAATAAAAATACCTAAAAACACATAAGAACATGTATACCCACACACATGTTCATTTACGCACACACCTATACAGGTGCTGGCCAGTAAATTAGAATATCATCAAAAGGTTGAAAATATTTCAGTAATTCCATTCAAAACGTGAAACTTGTACATTATATTCATGCAATGCACACAGACCAATGTATTTCCAATGTTCATTACATTTAAATTTGATATTCATAAGTGACAACTAATGAAAACTCCAAATTTGGTATCTCAAAAAATTAGAATATTCTGAAAAGGCTGAATATAGAAGACACCTGCTGCCACTCTAATCAGCTGATTTACTCAAAACACCTGCAAAGGCCTTTAAAAGGTCCCTCAGTCTTGTTTTGAAGGCACCACAATCATGGGGAAGACTTCTGACTTAACAGCTGTCCAAAAGACAATCATTGACACCTTGCACAAGGAGGGCAAGACACAAAAGGTGATTGCTAAAGAAGCTGGCTGTTCGCAGAGCTCTGTGTCCAAGCACATTAACAGACAGGCGAAGGGACGGAAAAAATGTGGTAGAAAAAAGTGTACAAGCTCTAGGGATAACCGCACCCTGCAGAGAATTGTGACGACAAACCCATTCAAAAATGTGGGGGAGATCCACAAAGAGTGGACTGCAGCTGGAGTCAGCGCTTCAAGAACCACCACGAGGAGACTCATGAAAGACATGGGATTCAGGTGTCGCATTCCGTGTGTCAAGCCACTCTTGAACAAGAAACAGCGCAAGAAGCGTCTCGCCTGGGCCAAGGACAAAAGGGACTGGACTGATGCTGAGTGGTCCAAAGTTATGTTTTCTGATGAAAGCAAGTTCTGCATTTCCTTTGGAAATCAAGGACCCAGAGTCTGGAGGAAGAGCGGAGAAGCACAGAATCCACGTTGCATGAGGTCCAGTGTAAAGTTTCCACCGTCAGTGATGGTGTGGGGTGCCATGTCATCTGCCGGTGTTGGCCCACTCTGTTTCCTGAGGTCCAGGGTCAATGCAGCCGTCTACCAGGAAGTTTTAGAGCACTTCATGCTTCCTGCTGCTGACCAACTTTATGGGGATGCAGACTTCACCTTTCAACAGGACTTGGCACCTGCACACAGTGCCAAAACCACCAGCACCTGGTTCAAGGACCATGGTATCCCTGTCCTTGATTGGCCAGCAAACTCGCCTGACCTTAACCCCATAGAAAATCTATGGGGTATTGTGAAGCGGAGGATGCAATACGCTAGACCCAACAATGCAGAGGAGCTGAAGACGACTATCAGAGCAACCTGGGCTCTCATAACACCTGAGCAGTGCCACAGACTGATCGAGTCCATGCCACGCCGCATTACTGCAGTTATTGAGGCAAAAGGAGCCCCGACTAAGTATTGAGTGCTATACATGCACATTCTTTTCATGTTCATTCTTTTCAGTTGGCCAACATTAGAGAAACAAACATTTTTTCATTGGCCTTTAGAATATTCTAATTTTCTGAGATACCAGATTTGATGTTTTCATTGGTTGTCACCTATAAATATCAAAATTAAACGTAATAAACATCGGAAATACATTGGTCTGTGTGCATTGCATGAATATAATGTACAAGTTTCACGTTTTGAATGGAATTACTGAAATATTTTCAACCTTTTGATGATATTCTAATTTACTGGCCAGCACCTGTATACATATATACAACCCCCCCCCCCCCCCCCACACACACACACACACACACATATCCATAAGCATACTGATTAAGTATTAAAAACTATAGTAAAAGGATGGTAAAAGAATCTACAGATTCAGGAGAGAAATGGCTGAAGGAAAGAAACTGTTCTTGTGTCTGGTGGTTTTTGTGTACAGTGATCTATAGCGTCTGCCAGATGGGAGGAGATGGAAGAGAGTAGATGCAGGATGTGTGGCATCTTGGACAATATTCACTGCCTTTTTCCTGGTCCTGCTGATGTACAGTTCCTGGACAGAGGGCAGTTGGGCACCAATGATTTTTCCTGCTGTTTTAATAATATGCTGTAGTCTGCATTTGTCCATTTTTGTGGCTGACCCAAACCAGACAGTGATGGATGAGCAAAGTATGGATTCGACTGCAGCAGTGTAGAAGATGATCAGCAGCTCTTGTGGTAGGCCGTACTTCCTTAGTTGCCGTAAGAAATACATCCTCTGCTGAGCCTTTTTGAGGATGGAGTTGATGTTTGTTTCCCACTTCAGATCCCTGGAAATGATAGTTCCCAAGAACTTGAATGAGTCCACCATTGACACTGGGCTGTTGGATATTGTGAGGGGGGGCAGCACTGTGGGAAGCTTCCTAAAATCCACGACCATCTCCACAGTATTAAGGGTGTTAAGCTCAAGATTGTGCTGACTACACCAGACCACCAGCCTCTCAACTTCTCACTGATAAGCAGACTCATCACCATCCTGGATGAGCCCAATGACAGTGGTGTCATCTGCAAATTTCAGGATTTTTACAGCTGAGTCATTAGAGGTGCAGTCATTGGTGTACAATGAAAAGAGCAGTGGAGAAAGGACACACCCCTGTGGTGTACCGGTGCTAATCGTCCTAAAATGAACTAATTTCATTAGAAAATACATATTTTCAGAAAATGAACTTGAGCCTTTTTTCCTGCAGCAATGACTTGTGGGTAATTCTCTGGCCCGTGATCCGCATCTCTGCGGACTTGGGTGAAGTGCAGATTAAGGGTGCAATGGGGACGTGGTCAACTTCTGCACTTGAGAATGGAGACACCCTACACACTCACACCCCTGGCCCGGAACGCGCAATTGAAGGGTGCAAGTGCGAGTATTGGGATTAGACCATGCTATAGTTCCCCATTCTCGTGTGGTAAACACCCAACCTATTAGGATGGGTGGGCAGGCCCAGCAACAGCTTGGAGTGACAGAGCCCTGAAACGGCTCATTGTTGAAGAAAAATGTCTGCTCCTTTAAAGTCATAATAATTATAGCATTTGTTTTATGACAAATGTACCACTGGTTCAAAAATAAAAAACGTGATCGGTATCAAAGGTCTGGTTGGAAATTTAGCATGTGATTTTGCTAATTAGACAATAAAACAATGAATAATGGAAAAAAGAAGTTGGGATTAAACAGCCTTTTAGTGAACCAAAGAAAAAAAGGGTAAAATAAGACGTATCAGGGCAAGATTTTCCCCTCCATAGTTCCCATTGTCCGGTCTCAATCCTGGATCTTCTTTACTCCTGTGAATTTCAAGACATTTGTCTCATGAATATAAACTTGAAACTATCTTCAAGCCCTGTTGATATATTTTCTTAATCTCTTTGGTTTTAAATAGAATAATTCCGATCCCGCGTTTTTGCTCCAGATGTGAGTCTGATTTGTTTGATTTTGAGTAGCTGCCTGGGCCTATTGCTAATCAGATATGTCAGCAAAGCATTTAAGTAAGAAAAATGAAAAACCAGCCAAGTTTTTCCTTCATATGATTTATTATGTATGTATTTCTTTCTGTAATTTGCTTAGTTTATCTGCCAAAAAACACTCGTTTATGAAGTACGTTGATAAGAAACATGTTAATATTATGAATTTTTAAAAGTAGGCTTGGTCGCTCATATTTTTAATCTCTTACATTCTCACCATGCAGCTGTATTGAGTGATGATGCATCGTCCTGCAGCTGGGCGGGCATGCAGCACCAGAGTTGGTAGGCTCACTTTTCTCTGCACAACACTGGTAGCTACCACAGCAACGCAGCTCAACAGACTGAAACTTTGTCGTTTGTCTGCATTTTTTCTCTGTTTATAGTATATCTTTCAATGTCAAGTAGCTTCGTGTTTTTGTCAGTTGCTGCAGTAAATGACGAGTATTTATTTTGAACTAGGACTAATGGAGACAGGTGATTCGCTGTGGCGCCAACACCTAAAAGGAAAAGCCACAAGAGAAAGAAGTTTGTTTTAAAGGCGGCAAATCAGATTCAAAGTGTGAATGCAGCTCTACCTTTTCCGATTCATTAATGCCCAGTTTGCAAAATCTGGTTTAATCTGAACATTTCCATCTGATTCAGATTATTTGAAAATCACATGATCAGGATGGAGCATCCCCACTTCTAAAGGTAGGTCTCGGACCTAATCAGCCTTTGTATTGTGGATTGTATTAATCTATTCCTCCAATATGGCTCTGTCCCCTCCATTTTCAAACATACTGTTGTTGAACATATCCTTAAAAAAATTAAGTTTGATCTGCTCTCAGCCTACAAATTACAGGCCCATTTCTAAATTGCCCATAAAGTTAGAATACGGAACGTTTTAATAAAAAGCTATATTTTAAAAATAATACCTTGACAGGGCACTCAGACGTGTGCAGAGTGAGTGTACAATTTCTCCTTTTAAAGCTATATTTCGGCAAGACAAGGCTGGGACTGTGTAAAGCAGCTGATTCTGAGCCCAGAAGATGTTCTAACAGTAAATAATGTTGTAAAATAAACTTATTAATAGAAATGAGTCCTTGTCCCGTATGGTTTATCTCTGAACATGGTGCTGGTCCTGGAACGTGAACCAACATCCCAGCAGCTGGAAAATTAAACCTCTTGTTGCAATACCACCTCTGAACACCAGAGCTCGCCAGATTGTCCGTTTTCTATAGTCACCATTTAATCTCAAGTTTTTGTAGCCGATCAACTGATAACTTTTCTGGAAATACACAACAATTTTGGTAGTTTTAAATCTGACTTTTGTAAAATGCATTCAACAGAAATGGCTCTGCTTAAAGTTTCTAGTGCACTTCATGATGGCTGGAGACACAGGGGAATTTAGTCTATTTATGGCAGTGTGAGCGTCCTGTCACAGTGTCCCGAGTGATGAGGCGCCCTGGCTACTTGGCCAAGGGGATTTCCCTTTGGCTGACTGGTCAGTACCAGGCCCCCACAATGCGGGACAGAAATTGAGGCCAATGCAGAAGTGAACTAAATTGCAGTTCCACCCTCATCCGCTGGGGGCTGGTGTCAGAAGCGAGCAAATCCTCATTGACTCCCATGTTAAAAATACCAATTTCACAGCAGAAATAAACATGTTTACAGCCTGGTACCAAAACAAGTTTTTGGTTTAATAGATCTAGTGTACACTCATGACAACTCTGAGGGGGGTGCATTTTTTCTCACTTTTCTGTTTAAGTGTATTAAAAGTCGAAAATTCTGTATCATTAATGAGCATCAGACCCACGTGACCGCAGAGCTAGCTCCGGGGAAAGGCCTCAGTAGAGCCTCGGTCTGGCCTGGAAACTTCCGCGATTTTTAGTCTCTGAACTTAGACCAGTAGTTGTAGCGTTTGTGCATTCTTTTTTTACCATACCATACCGACTTTAAATACCATGCCGTTTTTAAATGTGCTTTATAAATAAAGCACATTTAAAAACAGCATGGCAGCCGACCAAAGTGCTGTACAGAATAAAAAGTAAAAACACAATATAAAACAATACACGGTCAACAATAAAATACACAACAAAGTAGATAATCACGGTCACATAGTAAAATAATAAAAGTCAGGGATTTAAAAATACCTGGTCGTAAAAGTGAGCCTTAAGTAGCGACTTGAAACAGAGGAGGGATGGTGCCAGCCTCACTGACAGAGGAAGAGCATTCCAGAGTGTCAGAGCAGCATAGACAAAAGCACGCTGCCTCCGCGTTTTGTATTTCATTGTTGGAACGCGAAGCAGCAGGCAATCAGCAGATCTCAACGCCCGGTTTGGCACATAACAAGTCACAAGATCAGACAGGTAATCCGGAGCCAGACCATTCAGGGCCTTAAAACCAAAAACCAGGATTTTAAACTTGACTCTGAAGTTTACAGGTAGCCAGTGGAGCCGCACCAGTACAGGTGTGATATGGTCTCTTCTAGGGGTGTTTGTTAAAAACCTGGCTGCCGCGTTTTGCACAACCTGAAGCCTGTTAAGAGCGGAGGCAGGTAAACCAATTAAAATGGAATTTGCGTAATCCAATCGGGAGATGATAAAAGCATGAATTACAGACTCCAGGCTTGCTTTTTGGATATTTTTTGTGCAATTGTTGGACAAAATGACTTGCTGTGGCATTAATTGCATCACAACATGCCCTATAGGTTAACTGTTGTACGTCGCTTTGGATAAAAGCGTCTGCCAAATGAATAAACATAAACATAAACATAATAGAGCGTCCAAGGAGTCTCCACTTCATTTTTTTCAGTAAGTAAAATTATATTTATGTATTTTAGGTCACTGCCGAGCTGAGCTTAGATTTTAACATGTTTAACCATGAAATTTAAATGTAATAGGGTAAAACCCAGTGCATTTAACATAACGCTGCATTTTAGGAAATGGGTTGAAATATAACATGTTGGTGGAGCTGGGTTCCGACTATCGGCTTGTGGAGCTCTCGGGAGACCGATGTTTTCCACCCGGTTCTCCCCCCCCCTGCAGCTCAGCGCATCTCTGTCTGATCGCGGCTGCTTCTGCTGCGGGGGCTGCTGGCTTGTGGAGCTCTGGGATGGAAACCAATGTTTTCCACCCGGTTCTCCCCAGCGGCAGCTCTGCGCATCTCAGATCGCAGCAGCGCTTGTCTGCTGTGCGGCTGCCGGCTTGTGGAGCTCAGGGGACCTCTGTGTTCCACCCGGTTTTACCCAGCGGTCAGCCCGGCGCATCTCTGACTCAGAAGCTCTGGTGTTGTGCAAAATTAACTCCGGTTGTAGCTAGGTTGCTACCTCCGTTAGCTTAGCTCCCACCTCCACGTTAGCTTTGGGTTAGCTTGTAGCTAGTTCGACCGGGTGTCATTAGTTGATCCCAGCCTTAAAGCCCACCCTCAGCTCCACCTCTCTTCCATTTTGTGGAATTGTCTGGGCTTGACGGAACCTGTGACACGGTCAAAATGGCGGTGGTGGCCACCTCCCATTTCCCCTCAAAATTGTGTTATTGGAGCCTATGGAAATGAATTGTCCAGTATATATGTCGATGGTTAGTGCACGTGACTCTCACCCGGGAGTCTAGGGATCGAATCCTGCCTGGGCCCTCATTTCTCCACCTTGTCACGTATTGTTAGATCTTTCTGCAGCTTGTTGATCACCACCTTAACAGATTTTGTGACTCAGTGAGAATCTTGTTCACGAGTGAGGGAAAACTGGAGCGTGAGATCGATAGGCGGATTGGTGCTGCATCTGCAGTGATGCGGGCGTTGTACCGGTCTGTCGTGGTGAAGAGAGAGCTGAGTCAGAAGGCGAAGCTCTCAATTTACCGGTTGATCTACGTTCCTACCCTCACCTATGGTCATGAGCTTTGGGTAGTGACCGAAAGAACAAGATTGCGGATACAAGCGGCCGAAATGTGTTTTCTCCGAGGAGTGGCTGGGAGTGGCTTAGAGATAGGGTGAGAAGCGCGGTCATTCGGAAGGGGCTCGGAGTAGACCCGCTGCTCCTCCACATCGAGACCTTGAGGTGGCTCGGGCATCAGTGAGGCTGGTGAGGTTTTCCGGGCACGTCCAACCGCGAGGAGACCTAAAGGTAGACCCAGGACACGGTGGAGGGACTATGTGTCTCATCTGGAGGGGAACGCCTTGGGATTCCCCCGGAGGAGCTGGCCCAAGTGACTGGGGAGAGGGAAGTCTGGGCCTCTCGACTTAGGCTACTGCCCCCGTGACCCGACTCCGGATAAGCGGATGAAAATGGATGGATGGACTAACTCTCTAGTTTATAACAACAAATTCTTTTATAGCCAGATTTCACAATTTCTCTCAGATCCAAAGAACGGTTGCTACAACATCTAGCTTCATCACAACACCTCACATCTAGCATACCACAACCATTATTCATATCTTGTCATGTATCATTAGTTTAGAAAAAATAATCAAATTCATTTTATAAACTATATACTGACTCTGTCTGAATTAATATGAAGTGTGTTTATGGTCCCTGAATAAACAAAGAACCCTAGAATCTTCTGATTAAAATTTTAAAGATCAGTCAGGTTTATACTTCATATTTGTATGGAATATCACATCTTATTGGTCATAATTAAAATGCATTAATTGCTACAACTGTTGCTAACCGCTTAAACATTCTCCCTCTCCTGATAATAACATTTTACCTTCTTTGACATTGAATGTGCTACTACTAGTTTACCCGTTTAATTATAGATTCACTAGGATAAATACAATAATGTTTATCTCTCACCAAATAGAATATTTACTAAGAAATCACAATATACCCATAGAAACATTACTTGGTATATATGTTGTGTGTGTGTGTGTGTTCGTGTATGCGCTCTGTCTTTTCGATCCCCAGTGAGTCGTGGAGGATGGCTGCTTATACTGAGCCAGGATTCTCTGGAGGTTTCTTCCTGTTAAAAGGGAGTTTTCCTCTCCACTGTCACTGCATGCTTGCTTAGTATGAGGATTGCATAAAGTCACTGACACTAGTCAGTGACTTTATGCAATTTGCTGGGTTCCTTATATAGGAAACGTTTTTCTGATTGGCTTAATGAACTTACCTGTATACGAATGTTTACTGTGTGAAGTGCCTTGAGACGACCCTTGTCCTGATTTGGCGCTATTTAAATAAACTGAATTGAACTGAAAAATAGAAAAATAAATTGTAATCTTTGTCTCCTTATATTTTCTCATTCTTGCTTATTTTGTGTTCTGCAGATCAAGTTCATATGAGAGTTCCTCTCAGGCTGAAAGTAACTTTAATAAAGTTCCCTTTAAAGACTCTGAATCCTCTGGTTTTTGAATCTGACTTGCCACGTGGATCTCAGCAGATGGAAAGGAAAGTGAAGTTCTGCTTAAATATAAAACAATACTGACCTTTTTATGTGGAACTCTTCAGCATGAATCTGAGTTGTTTATTGTCTGCTTTAATGTTTTCATGACCGTGTCCCTTTTGACACTTCACACCCCTGAGCTAAAAGCTCCATCTGTGGTGTAAACTCATGGAGAAGTGTTTTACAGTTTTATGCAAATGATTGAGTTGTTGCTCTGTGTTCCTGTTGCCCTCACGGAACTGGGAAAAGGGTTTTCCTTCACTCTGCTCCTTCTTCGTGAAACAGGTTGCAAGAAGACTAAATAAACTGAGTTCATTTCCTTGAAAACATTAAAATCCACATCTAGAGCCCTTGAGTCAGACTCCCTGTATTGTAACAGCGTTTTGATTCATTCGTCTGTGTCTGCATTTATTTCATTAAATGATACATCAATAGATGTCTTGCCGTTGTTGATTTGATCAGTTTTAATTTGTTACTGTGCCGCATTTTGGTGGCATGCCTGGGGCAGCAGTAGCTCAGGTGGTAGAGCGGGTTGCCTCATGATCGGCTCCAGCTCCCGCCAGGGGTATCCTGCTGTTGTGTCCTTGGGCAAGACACTTCACCCAACTTGCCTGTGTTAGTGGTGGTCAGAGGGGCCGACGTCGCCAAATGGCAGCCTCGCCTCTGTCAGACCTCCCCAGGGCGGCTGTGGCCATCACTAGCAGTGTGTGAATATGAGAGTGTGTGAAAGTGTCTTTGGATGTCTTGAAAAGCGCTATATAAGTTCAGTGCATTATTATTATTATTATTATTATTATTATAGATGGCTTACACAGGAAAAAAGACCAAAACTGTTAGCTTTCACTGACAATTTTTATTATTTGTAATTAATTTCTCCAAAGTTGACCGAAGAGACCACCTTCAGCATAATCAGTATAAAAGGCCCCAGTAACAAGCGACAAAAACTTGTTTCAGTCTGAAAAAATAACCGATCTTTAAAAATCTGCAAGGATCACATCATTATTTTTCTCTCTCGGGTTACGGGCACTTGGGCTTACATTCAGGTGGAGAAAAGCACGGACATCTGAAGCGAACCTTGTAGTCCAAGCACGGACCGGGATTCTGATCCTCATTGCGACAAATGAAGCCCACTTTGGTGTTGTAGCTGAAAAGATAAGTTAGAGCAAGAAAATGAAAGCAAGTTTTATTATGATGCACTGAATGTTTAAAAAATATATCTTGTTTAAAGGTGTGGGTCACTGGAAAAACATTATTTATTATTTCTGATTAGAATCTGTTACTCTGAGTTTTTCTTGCTGGCCGAACATGAGGATAGTCTCCTACACCTATCTTCTGCATTCGCTTCTGTTCAAGAACATTTATTTAGATTAATGTTTAAAGGTGACTTACGCATAGAATTGCTGCCCCGTGCTTGTGGCTGGGATGTTCCCATCAACAGTGACAGCCTGAATAGCATAAGGTCTGGGACAAATTTCTCCTGGATTTTCCCTCCTCAGGTCAGGAAGATCTTCCCAGTCCCCCATACCAGTGGGATCACTCCGATCATACCAACTGGTCCAGCAGAATAAAGGCTGTACTGGAACTGTTAGAGACACAAAGACATGTCAACACAGGGACGACACTACACATCGTTACAAAATGTAAGTAAATGTATAAATGTCCTTTACTTGGTTTCACAGCTGAAATTAGGAGCAGATTAACACCAGTTAGTGGTTTTGTGTGGTGGGAAACACTTTTAAAACTGAAAATTGTCTGAAAATGAACTCACCAAGCAGCAAAAATGCAACAACAATAAGACTCATCTGTAAACCAAAGTTTAGTTGTTAAAACGGTTCAAATGATCAGGTTGAGATGTGTAAACTTCTGAATTTTCTAGAATTTTTTCGTTTGACCAAAGAAAATAAATGAGAATTTTCACCAGTTTGATCATGATTGCAGAAGTCAGATGTCCGTTCTCACGACTGCAAAACAAAGCAGTGAAACCCTGAAAGACTTTCCCTCCACAATTACTACATCTTTCAATGTGAGTTCTATTAAAACTGATTCAATTCTCCTTTTCTTTGGAAGAAAAATGGTTTAGAGTTTTGTTTTCTTACCAGGAGGACCTCTCCGTTGCACTCGCTAGCTGTGTCTACCTCACCCTTTTAATGGTGGTGCATCACTCCTTGAGTCGCACATTCTTTCACACAAAAAGCTGGACTCTAATGGAGGTTCTCAGAGTGTTTTGCTGCATTTTCACAGATAAAAATGTGAGAAGACCAGTTCAGAGCAGGCTTTTAGAGAAGCACTGGTCAGACCTTAGTGGCTGTCTCAGCAAGCTTGCTGGGCTTTTGTTAACATCAGTGAGATCATTTTATCAAACTCACAAGTTCATAGATGCATATGTGTCAAAACTTAAGTCCTGGAAAGGTTTCCCAAACATTCCCTTTTTGCAAATACATTTCTGTTTTGTATGCCTTTTTCTTTGCTTCTTCAACAATATGTAGATAAACAGAACAATGGTGGACCAGGAATTTTGTGTTGACAAAGTTTTTGAGGTCCAGGATTGTGTGATGCTGTCCTGTGTTTCTGGTCATTTTGCATTTTATCTGTGAAAATGCAACAAAACAAGTTTTATCGTTACTATCATGAAAAATTCTAGTTTGTGCTTCAGGGTGTAACACGAAAAAACAAGAGGTCAGCTGCTGAGTCTTTCACATGTTAAACAACAAAAGGGTGTATAATCTTTTATAAAATGAATAAATAACACTATCAGAAGAGTAAAAACATTTAAAAAATGCTTTTAAGATATGATTTTTGATTTTGCAACTATTACAATATTCTGACACTTGATTATTGCAATATTTTCTAAAATAGACTTCTTAAATCGTTGAGCTTCACTGATACAATCAATAATTAAGTCTGTATGTGTTTACATATACATTTTATCTTAAAGTGATACGTCATTGAAACCCCAAACTGAGTTTTCTCTATCCTACCCTATCTCCTGCATCAGCTGCTGATAGAAAATAGACAGTGAAACTCTAGGATTAGAAACTCCTGAAGATCTACGTCACACTGTGAAGTAACACTCACCCACACTGAAAACATCTTTGTATCTGCAAGAAAGCGTGGCTTTCGGAGGAATGTTTTGGTAAAGCGGTCCAGACACGGCACATTCTGATTTGCCAGAATACGCCAGAAATTATAAATAATGAGTTTAATAAAACAGGATTTACTTCCCGATTAATTCAATTTCGAGCTGAACCCCGATTCAGCCAAATCGGGAAAGAAGCCTCTTTTGAAACAAACTCCTTTGACCTTAAGTCAAAACCTTTCTGAGACGCTGCAAGTGATCACAGACACAACAGCTCTTTTCAGAGCTGCTTCAACTCTCAGACATCCACCCTGGACACCTAACCTGCAGACCCCAGGTTGCATCTCATGGCTGGGGAAGCTGAACTCAGAGGAAGCTACTAATCTCTGATTATTGTGGTTTTGACATCCGGTAACCTCCTGCATACCGGTGTCTGATGAGGTTTTTTTTATTATCAATAACTAACTCTCTATATTTATAACAACAAATTCTTTTACACCCAGATTTCACAATTTCTCTCAGATCCAAAGAACGGTTGCTACAACATCTAGCTTCCATCACAACACCTCACATCCACCACACCACATCTCATTATGCATATCTTGTCATGTATCATTAGTTTAGGAAAAATAATCAAATGCATTTAATAAACTATATACTGACTCTGTCTGAATTAATATGAAGTGTGTTTATGGTCCCCGAATAAGCAAAGAACCCTAGAATCTTCTGATTAAACATTCAAAGATCAATCAGATTGATATTTCATATTTGTATGGAATATCACATCTTATTGGTCATAATTAATATGTATTAGTTGCTACAGGAGCCTCTGCCTCCTACTGTTTCACTGAGACTGCTCTTCACAGCAGTCTCCTCGTGCTGCCGTGGCTGGAGCAGTGGTTCCGAGCTGCAGTCAGAGGAGATGTTTACTCCTCTGCATCCAGGCTGATAATTAATTGTACATGCGGGAAGCCACAGTTGGCTGATTCTACCAGCTATTAAGAGGCTTCCTCTATAGGTAGGCGTGAAACTTCAGTCGACCAAGTGGGTGGGTGTGATGGATCTGCTTTGCACGAAGTGGACCGCTGGACAGTAGGTCAGCTGAGCACGAGAAATGCACAGATTACCTAGCCTGGCCTGCCAGTCTCGTCCTGTTTAAATCTACACAGAGAACTAGTCTGGTTACTCACAGAGAGGCACATGAGGGGCAGGACTAGCCAGCTCAAAAATAACAAATCAGGTCAAAGGTGGCAAAGCCGACTGTACCGCGCGACGCTGTTGTTATTAAGCTGTGGTCAGAAATGGGGTCTGACGACAGCGCAAACATCTTTATTTAGAAGAAAGGCTTTTAGCGCTTCTTCTTGTTGTGGCTTTAAAGACATGTCCAGGCAGGGTTTCCCCCAGCCCTCTATGAGTCTGGCGGACCGCCATGTTGTGCTTGGTCACCCACCAGGCTAAGCATGGTTTACCCCCACCCCTCAGCCCTACCATCCCCGGAACCCTGATCACGCACAGCAGAGAAACGAACCGCAGGCCTCCCCTCTGCTGATGAGAAATGGTAGCTGGGCGACCTCTAAAAAGTAAATAAAACACAGTTTCACTCTCTTACTGAACTTCAAAGTGTAGAAAACCACAACAATTTGTATGTTTATGCACCTGGCTGGAGCTCAGGTACCATTAAACACTTAAATGTTTGATTACCTGGTCAATTCAATTCTGTGACAACAAAGGAACAGGATAAGGACACAACTCATTGGAAGGAATGAGTCCTGCTAGGATGGATTTCAAAAAGTAGGCATGCCTTGCTACCAACCAGGATCAGGATCAAAGGCCCTGCTGCTGGGAGTTCGATTCTTTGGCTTAAACATGATGCCATCACCAGAATTTACAACGTACTGTAAGTTTTTATATGTTTGAGCAGAGCTGAAGTTGTTTAACAGATCTATGAAGAAAAAAAAGATTTTTATAGCTATTTTTACCAGTGGATGTTTTTGTCCTCTAAAGACTCAAGTGAATAGTAAGTTAAAGTGAAGCCTGAGGGTTAAATCACTTTAAGAGGTTCAGAATAATCACTGAAAAATGCACAGAGATATCGGTTTGATTCTGTGACATAACTTTCCTTTTCCATTACGGCCCCAGAAAACTTCATGGTGGGGCCAGATGAAAATGAGACTTTGTCACCACACACAAATATATTTATTTATGTACATACAGTACTGTCCAAAAGATTTAGGCAGGTGATTTAAAAGCAAAGTGAGTGAGCCCAGACATCCAGCCATCAAACTGTCTTCAGAGTGAAGAATAAATGGCCTGTATTTGATATAAAGTTTTATTTTTCAATGTGCTGTCAGATAAAGATTTAAAGACCTTAAAGTACATGGGCTACTCCACAGCTTTGGCTCCTCTGGTTGCTGGGGTTATTATGGGGTTGACCAAGCTACATCATCAGGGAACAACTGAACTTTTCAAAGACTTGAGTGCAAGATTCCAGGTTTTCCTGACATCTGCTGTCATGTAATAGTATCTACAAGTAGAATAAAAAAACATCTTCGTCCATGACAATCTTTAGTCATTTTAAACAAGACATTACCAAAACCTTAAACTGAGGCATATTATAAGTAAAAAACAAAACAAAACAAACAAACAAAAAAAAAAAAAACATAAAAGCAAAATAATATGTAAAATATGTAAAAAACAAACACATACATTTGTAAAACGTTTTATTTTACGAGTGATCAATCAGAACTTTTGATATAAATGTACTGTTTATAAACATCAAATGGAAAAAGTGTGTTGATAATATGATCATCCAAACTCAAGAAGAAATTGGCCTTCATTAAATTTTCACTGATCTAAAGGTTTCACAAACCACTGCACGCTAAAAACTGATATTGATGCAGAACATTCTAGTCCAGGTATGAAGAGTTTAAGTAATTTATTTGTTAAATTTGAGCAGAAATGCTCAAAAAGTGAAAAAATAAAAAAAGGAATTGTCCTTTCCAAGCTATGTGATGCATATTTCTGCGCTCTCTGGTGGTTTGGAGGCGCATTGCATTCATCACCGGAAATGTAGTTCTCTCCTCTGTCAGGGTGAGGAATGTGGCGCGATACACCCTGGCAACGCTGTGTGAATACAAACAAATTCAAGAAAAAAATCAATAAGTAGCTGCTTTTTTCTTTTCTTATAACTACAATTCATAGGAGTTTTCTGTTTTTGAACTTCACCACGTGAGAAAAAAGCAGTTTTCTGGGAGAACATGCCTCGTAGACGACAGGTAAGAACACACATAGGTCGCAAAAGAGGCTTAGCTTTAGCAGTGCTAGCTCAACTGTATGCCATTGAGTAACTAGAAGGATCTACCATTTACTATCCGAATCCTTGATTCACAAATAGTTCTTTAGTCTACCAAAGAGATCCATAAAATCATCTATCCTTTTATACATATTGTTTTGTGTTTGGTTGCGTTTTTACAACTAGTAAAGTAAATAAAACCTTAGTGGGCTTAAAATAGCCAAACATAAGCAGTAATATTATATTAAGTCAAATTTTACTGCTCATATATGTGCCGAATTGGCTATGAGGTCGTAATAGTTTCTCTCGTGCTCCGTCTTCTTACATTAGTTTGTATCTAAACGTTATTTGGGAGAAACACATTTGAAAATGTTAGCTTTTTCAATGGAGACTGGTGACACACATTAGCTTGGCTAACGTTTGAAGCGAAACCAACAACAATGCAACGAAGAGCTAAGCATGCAAGCTTTTCTAGCTTGCTTTGGCTAACCATAATTGTGTTTATCAGAATAAAAAAAATTACTTGTGGTAAAATATTTGTGTTAGCACGTTTTGACGTAAACATTAGTGACAGCTGTTGAGACGTGTTGAATAAACAACGACCAGCCAGCTGACATTGTTTTTTTTAAGTGAGCTGAATAAAAACCCTCAAAAAAGCCACGCTAGTAGTTTTTATTACACCAAACATCCCACTGATTTAGCATTGTCTCACAAGATTAAAGTCATTACAATTATATTTATTATCTGGACAGAAACTATTTAATGTTAAGAGATATGGACCTTAACTGTGGTCATCCACAATAACTCTTTTTAACAAATGGCATTATTGTGTTTGAGCTGTTTATTGATTATCTTTTTGCAGAGACCTATGGCAGGAAGTGGGTCCGATGCAACGGAGGACTCTGAGGATTCTTCTGCTGAAAGAGATCAGGCCAACAGCTCAGAAAGTGATGGAAACATGCCGAAGAGACAGCGGCTCACCAGAGCTTCCACCCGCCTTAGCCAGAGCTCTCAGGGTTGGTCATCTTCACATCCACCAGAACCACATACACAGTTTTCAAGTGTCTAATAGTGGTTGGACTTCTTTCTCTTTAGATACACCAGACTTGAAGCGAGCTGCAGACCACGATGAGTCTCCACCACTCACACCCACAGGAAATGCTCCCTCGTCTGAATCGGAGCTGGACATCTCCAGTCCCAATGCTTCTCATGATGAGAGCCAGTCCAAAGACCAGAATAACAGAGACTCTGATAAAGACCTCTCTCATCGACCAAAACGCCGCCGCTGCCATGAAACGTACAACTTCAACATGAAGTGCCCGACCCCTGGGTGTAACTCTTTAGGTAAAAAAAAAAAAAAAAAGGTTTTTTTCTTTCTATGAAATTAGCTGAATTACTTTCTGTATTGAAACATATTACTATCTTTTTTGTTGTTGTGTAGGCCACCTCACAGGAAAGCATGAGCGCCATTTTGCCATATCAGGGTGTCCTCTGTACCACAATCTGTCTGCTGACGAGTGTAAGGTAAGTTAACATCCTCGCTGGCATTTCAGCTCAGATTTGTAGACAAGCAACAACCCTGGGCGTTGCACCCGTGGAGGATGTGGATGTTTTAACACTTACACCTTTTCTAATTAGGAGATTAAACACCCACACTTTTTCCAACGTTTAGCTCATAAATATCGGTCCAGTCCCTCAGTGTTTCTCTTGTTACCCTCTCCCCCTGCCTCTCCTGTTGCTAATTACATCTGCACATTTGCTGCGTTAAGTCAGTATTCCAGTCAGTTCCATTGTTGAAACCAGTTTCTCCACCTCTCCGCAATGCCCAAGCGACAAAAATGCACACGCTCATTACAAGCGTGCTCCCGTGGTGCGCTCTGCTCACACTACAGAACTGCAGCCTTTGTGAGTTAAAACATCTGGTTTGTGCAAATCAACATTTGATACTGACGCCAATTCAGTTGTTAGTCACGTGTACCATCCTTGCTTATTCATCAACTCAAAGGTTTCTTGTTGATGTGATTATTTATTTATTTATTTATTAAAGAACAAGTGATTAAATTATTACAAAAAGCTAAAAAGACTTAACAGACAAAGCTGAAGTTGGTTTCCTTTTTTAGTTTCAGAGTCAAAAAGAGCAATTCCAACAACTATTTCCGCTCCCTGAGCATCTTTATTTTACTTTAATTAAAAATTTATAATACTTACTCTTCAAACCTGGACTGGGTTATTCTGTACTTTTAACAGGATCCTTAAAAGACAGTTTCTGATTTTTACAACACGTGATGCACCGATATGAGATTTTTGAGCCGATACAGATACTCGATAATAATATAACTGTTATGGCCAATAACCAATATTTGCTGATACCGATATACTGACATTTATCCTGCGGGGTCTTAAAAAGTCTCAAACGCATTGGATTTAGGAATCTGGAAATAATACCTGAAAAGGTCTTCAATTTTGACAACTGGGTCTTAAAATTTGTTCTGTATGTAAATTCTCCGTAGTGCATTTCATTTGTCAACTACCATCATTTTTATTAAATAACCTAGCATAAATAAAGAGAGTCTTGGCTCAAAATACTCAGAGCATGTGACGTATTCAGCTCCCGCGCTACAGCAGTGATACAACAGTAAACACCACACAGACCTCCAGCAGAGGAGAAACGCGGAAAATCTCAGCAGACCATGAGGAAGGTTGACCGACGCCTAGGGTTGGGTGCCAGAACTCTTTAAGACTGAGTGAAAACATTTGGTAGGTACCAATATCAGGAAAAAAGTATTAAAATGTCCCAATGTGCCGCCGCGGGTCACATGACTCATCCCGAGTCACGTCATGAAAATGCTAAATAAAACCTAACATTTGGGTGCTTTTAACTAAAGTAAACAGCAGCTAAGTGCAACACCAGCAAGAAGATTGGTGCTGCAAAAATCAGGAATAGTAGCAATTTAACAAAGCAGCTTGTTGTGCAGGGCATCACCTTGAGAGCTGAAACATGGAAAGTCTTTGACTGCAAAAAAGTAAAGCAAGTCCATCACTAGGGCTGGGCGATATGGCCTCAAATCTATATTGCAATATAATCTGAAGCATGTGCGGTAACGATATATATTGCAATATATTTTTCCTTTGTTTATATGTGTCAAAATTGACATGCTTTTAAATATCCTCATGTGGCAAATATATGCCACTTGAGGCATATAGGCCTCCTCCTCCGCCCACTCCATGCTTGCAGTCACTGCCATTCTGTTGTCCCAATGTCAGCAGGGCACACATCTTAGTGACGTCATGTGTTATTGCGGTATTGCGATATAGCCAAAAACTCTATCATTACCCAATTTTATATTGTTTCTACCTTATATCGTTTATATTGCCCACCCCTATCCATCACCTTCCAAAACTCCGGAGGAGTCTGAGGATGGAGGCTGATAAAAGCAGAAACAGGACATAAAACCAACTTAGCTGCTGTTTACCAGCATTATAAAAGCTGTTCAGCAGGATTGTTATCACTGCTGTTACTGACATGAAGGGAAACGTAATGAAAGCTATTTTTATACACATATTTACAGTTTGTGCCTTTACAGTTTGCACTAACGCTTTGTTGAAACAAAGTATAAAATATAAAATAGTATTAACATTTAGAACATAATCTTTAAGTTGTTTGTTATCCTCTCTTAAAATAAAAAATATATAGATTTCAACTAAAATATCATTACCGCCATCAAACATCAGGTATCGTTAAAGTAGTAGTATCAAGAAGTATCTGCTGGTACCCAGCCCTACTGACACTGTATACAGGTCCTTCTCAAAAAATTAACATATTGTGATGAAGTTCATTATTGTGTGTAATGTACTGATAAACATTAGACTTTCATAGATTCGTTACACACAGCTGAAGTAGTTCAAGCCTTTTATTGTTTCTAATATTGATGATTTTGGCATACAGCTCATGAAAACCCAAAAATCCTATCTAAAAAAATTAGCATATCATGAAAAGTTTCTCTAAACGAGCTATTAACCTAGTCATCTGTATCAGCTAATTAACTCTAAATACCTGCAAAAGATTCCTGAGGCTTTTAAAAACTCCCAGCCTGGTTCATTACTCTAAACCGCAATCATGGGTAAGACTGGAACTCTCTGCCCCTCCGTGTGCGTCTGGCTCCCTCAGTCAGCGGTTTCAAGTCGGCCCTGAAAACGTACTTCTTTAGTATTGCCTTCCCTCCGTGACACTTTTCATGAAAATCTAGCACTGGATTTGAATTTTTAATTCCATTTTTATGATTCAGTAGCTCACTTTTGGCACCTCGCACCATCTGGTAGCTTATTTGGTTTTATTTGTGCCATTTCAAATGTTTTTAGCATTCGTCGCATCATTTTATTTTTTGATAGTGCTGTTAACTGTTCTCCTATTTTATTGTTTTTAGTAGGAATTTTTATCTCTGACTATTTATGCTTTGTTCTTATGTATTTTGCCTGTTCTAATTGTGTTTCTTGTTCAAGCATTTGGCTTTTTTATGTACAGCACTTTGGTTAGCTGCCATGCTATTCTGAAATGGTGCTTTATAAATATATATGGTATGGTATTTTAATCTAATAGCAGAGTCCTTAAAATATATAGTTTGTGATTTGTGAAATCTTTATCTGATTTGTTACAGTTCAGTAAAACACAAAGTTGATAACTTTTTATCTGGTCCAGCTGAAAACTCTTCAAGCCTGGACAGGATTATTCTTCATTAACTAGGGATGCACCGATCAGGTTTTTTGCTGCCGATCACCGATATCAAAGAATGCTGATCACTGATACGATCACTGATACCGATCACGTGGATTGGCCAGAAATTTTCTACAACATTATAATGAGTGCTACAAACTACATAATCTGGGAATAAAGGAAATGTAACCTAATCTAAAATGGTCTGTAATCGGTCTGCTTTGATCTGTTTTGAAAACTGATCAAAACCGATAGGGGCGCTATCGGCCGATTGGGATCAAATGCTGACCCATCTGTGCATCCCTAACATTAACAGTAAAATCTATCAAAGAAAGTTGGTCATTTGTGAACCTTTTAATGGATTAGTGAAAGTTTAAAGAAGGCAACTTTCTTCAATTTATTGTTAGTTATAGGTTGAGGTTTATAAACAATAGGTTACATTTATCTAGAGTTCTATTGATCACACATGAAATAAATTAATTTATAATTAGAGCAGATTAAAGGCGCAGGAAGTGGACAAATTAGTTGAAACTGACCCGTTTAAATTGGGAACTAAAAAGGGAACCAACTTCAGTTTTGTTTAAAATAAACAACAAAAATAAAGGAATAAAAAAGAACAAAAAATTTTGCAAAATGGATGAGAAAAAAAATCAAATGACCGTAAATTACTGCAAATAATTTCAATGGAAATGAGTAATATAGAGTAGGCTTGTAAATATATATAGCTGTGTGTGTTTCAGAAATCTCAACACCCCCCTGGTTCCAACACAACACCTTTAGAAAAATATCAGACTAATGGATCAGCTCAGCTGTTGTTCTACACACTTAAATTATTCACATATATTTTCATTTTCAGTCATTTGGATCTGGGGCTGCATGGTGAAGCGTGTGGTAGCACTGCTACCTTGCAGGGAGAAGGTTGCAGGTTCAAATCCTGCCTGTGGCCTTTTTGCATGGAGTTAGCATGTCCTCCCCACGATGCTTGAGTTTTCTCTGGGTGCTCGGTTTCCCCCCACAAATAAAAAACACACGTCAGGTTAATTAGAGACTCTAAATTAAGTCTAGGTGTGAGTGAGACCTGTCCAGGGTGTCCCCTGCCTTTTGCCCTATGAATGATGCAGGTGGACACCAGCTCCCTTTGAGCCTAGTGAGGGCTGAGAAGTTTAAATAAGGACTGAGTGAGTCATATAAATCTGTAAATGAAGCCATTTTTAGAAGACATACCATGCCGACAAATAAGTGTAATACTTCTGCCAGGGTGTGTCTTATGAATTGGCCGTGGCGGCACGACGATGCGTGAATCTTGTGGGATTTGTTCCGCCACACTTGGTAGCAATATTACTGCAACGCTGGACTTGTGAAAGCATATTACACCTTGGTTTGCTCCAGAGCTCAGAGAAAAATCCACCCAGTTATGACCTAAAGCTCATGACCATCTGTGAGGACAGGGACAAAGATCGATCAGTAAACAGTTGGGATTTTGGTTGAGGAAAAGCATGTGATGTTCTTGTGTCCAAATACCGACACAAAAGGAAGTCTGACCTTTTTGTTCTCGCCAGGTTAAAGCCGTCAGCCGCGAGAAGCAAGAGGAAGAGGGGAAGGTGCAGGAAGACAACAGTGCTAGACACGCTACTCGTCACCAGGTACTCCGTGTTTGTGAGCTAAGTCGTTAGTGGGCGTGTACGAGATAAACAATAATGTTTTTATGTTAATGTCCTAGACACCCACGCCGAAGCAGAGCAGATACAAGGAGCAGGTGACGGAGATCAGGAAGGGGCGAAACTCTGGTCTGCAGAAAGAGCAGAAAGAGAAGCACATGGTACGTGTCCAGCAAACACACACGTTTGTGTTTTACTGCTGCGGTGTTCTTTCCTTTTGTTGAACTTCCTGTTCTCTCCACAGGAGCATCGGCAGACGTACGGCAACACCAGAGAGCCCCTCCTCGAGAACATCACCAGCGAATATGACCTGGAGCTGTTCAGAAAAGCCCAGGCCCGTGCATCTGAAGATCTGGTAATGCCAGATTTAGCCACTGAAAAACAGCGTAGTTTTTTCTTCGTCATCAAAAAAGCGACTCTCTTTTAAATGTGTTTTATGGTTGTCTTTTACTCTCCTGCAGGAGAAGCTGCGTATCCAGGGTCAGATCACAGAGGGCAGCAACATGATCAAAACCATCGTGTTTGGCCGCTATGAGCTGGACACCTGGTACCACTCGCCCTATCCTGAGGAGTACGCTCGTCTCGGTCGATTGTACGTCTGCGAGTTCTGCCTGAAGTACATGAAGAGCCAAACCATCCTCAGGAGACACATGGTGGGTCTCAGAACAACGACACACGGGGAGCTGGGCTAAGTGTTTGTGAGGGTTGTCCTTAATCACCTACAGATGTAATTATTTAGCTTAAATATGCTCAACTTCTGTTTATTACTAGTAGATACAACCTTTTAGTTTGGGCGACGGTGGCACAGGAGTTGAGTGCTCACCCCATAATCAGAAGGTTGCTGGTTCGAGCTCCGCTCAGTCTGTCATTGTCGTTGTGTCCTTTGGCAAGACACTTAACCCCCCTTGCCTGCTGCTGGTGGTGGTCGGAGGGACCGGTGGCGCCAGTGCTCTGCAGCCTCGCCTCAGTGCGCCCCAGGGCAGCTGTGGCTACATTGTAGCTCATCCCCACCAGCGTGTGAATGGGTGAATGACTGATTGTGTTGTAAAGCACCTTGGGGGGTTCCAGGATTCTAAAAGGTGCTATATCAAATACAGGCCATTTTAGAAGTTAACATACCTGCATGTGTTCCATTGCTTTGAAAAAACACAGATTTGTTTCCTTTTTCTGTGTATTTCCAGGCTAAGTGTGTGTGGAAGCATCCTCCAGGAGACGAAGTGTACAGGAAGGGTTCCATTTCTGTGTTTGAAGTCGATGGCAAGAAAAATAAGGTGGGAGGTTATTTTAGAAAACATGGAGACCGGGTCCTATGATGATGAATTAGAGATGCTAAACTGTTGTTGTTTCCCCAGATTTATTGCCAGAACCTGTGTTTACTTGCCAAACTCTTCCTGGACCACAAAACCCTTTACTACGACGTGGAGCCGTTTCTCTTCTATGTCATGACCGAGGCCGACAACACCGGCTGTCACTTAGTGGGATATTTCTCGAAGGTAAACAGAACAGGACAACTCCATGCCAGTGTTGCAAACTTTATTTTGTTTTTAATCGTGATCTGGTTCCATTTTTAGTTGACTGTATTTCTGTCCACAAAGAGGTTTAAAACATTTGTGTGTTCCATCCAGGAGAAGAATTCGTTCCTAAACTACAACGTTTCCTGTATCCTGACGATGCCGCAGTACATGAGACAGGGATTTGGCAAGATGCTCATTGACTTCAGTAAGAACACACACTGTTTAAAATGTTCCTACACCTAAAACGTTTGCAAGAGCTGCTGTCTAATTGGCCGTCCCCTGCTTCGCTCAGGTTATCTGCTGTCCAAGGTGGAAGAGAAAGTGGGCTCGCCAGAGAGGCCTTTGTCTGACTTGGGCCTCATCAGCTATCGTAGCTACTGGAAGGAAGTGTTGCTCAGATACATGTACAACTTTCAGGGCAAGGAGATCTCCATCAAAGGTGAGGCAGAATTTAGCGTTGATCTAAGACATAGTTGGATCTGTCGGGCATTAGAAGACCACGTAGACACTCTTTAAACACAACACTGACCATTTCAACTGTCATACATGTTGAGCAGCCTCAGTTTGTAGAAGTTGCTAACTCCACTTTGGCTTTACACTGTTAACATTGAGTCCTCTGGTATTTACGGACCTAAATACTGCCTGCAGCAGCAAAATAAAGCACTTGCAGTTCATCCAGAGGTATAACAAAAGCAATAACTGATGAAAAACTGTATATAATGAAAATGTATGGTATTGTAAAATTTTCTAAAATAAAGTGTTTTCAGTGGAGGATGTTGCCAGACTAGCTGTTAGCCTATCAGTCCCAGAAGACAAACACTGTTTCTCCTAAGAGAGTTTAAAGCTTTTACACTAAAACTCGCTCTGGGCTGGTTTTGATGCAGAGATCAGTCAGGAAACAGCAGTGAATCCTGTGGACATCGTGAGCACGCTGCAGTCTCTGCAGATGCTGAAGTACTGGAAGGGAAAGCACTTAGTCCTGAAGCGACAGGTACGTGTGTCCGCTTTGTTTCTGGAAAATTGTTTCAATCAAATCTCTAAATAATAATTTAAAAAAACAACAACATGTTTTTAGGACTTGATCGACGAGTGGAAAGCAAAGGAAATCAAACGAGGCAACAGCAACAAAACCATCGACCCCAGCTCGTTAAAGTGGACCCCCCCCAAAGGGACATGAGCACAAGACCCTCAGGCTACTTTGAACCGCGTCACCTCCAGCCTCACGTGCCACAAGTAGCCTAGACCCTTCAATAACCATCAGTGTTCTGCTTGTTTTGCTTTTTTATCCTGTTCATTTCTACGCATTTCGCTCATGATTTAATTATTCTAATTTGACTTTCCTTCATGCTGTCCAGCATCGTTCGTTCCCGGTAAAGCTCAATAACTGAAGGTGGAGACGGTCCCGATTCGGTGGATGACATGAATGTTCTGCTTTGAGTTTATTGCATTATGTTCTAGCGGCGTTCCCGCGTGGTTCATATTTCTAAGAAGTAATGTGCATCCTTACGTCTGTGGTCATTCCTGTCTGTTGGCATAAACTGAAACTAAGCAGGGTATATTTTTTAGAAAGCAGGAGTCCTTGTCTTTGGTTTACATGAATGGTTGTATAGATGGATTTAGTTTTCCTTCCCATAGCTTTTGTTAGTACAGGATTTGGACCCATTCCTCTGGTGAACCTGCCAAATATCAAACGCAAATTGTGTTTAATGAGCTTAGAAGAGAAAACTAACAGTAGAGATGCACAATAACAGGCTCAGGTTTTTGTACCGATACAATCATACCTTGCTTGTGCGGTTCCTCTGAAACGTGGATCTGGCTGGTTGTAGAAGGACTCGCTCCGGTTAAAGATTCTGTAATAAAACATTCGAATGAGACTTTGCCTGGTGGATTTACTCTCAGCTATCACATGTGTATCAGGAATTTGATTTCTTTAATACTAATAAAGCTGCCTTGATGTTTTAAAGGGTTTTGTGGCTTGGTCCCTCACCTCTTCTGGAGATGCTTCTCCCCATCAGACCCACAAACGCTTCTCCTTTATTTCCTACAAGGAAAAAAAAAACTTATGAAGCTACAAATACATTTTGACAAATTTTTCTGGAAAAGAAAAACATTTTACTCACGTCTGTCCACATGAAATGGTTTCTTTGTAGCTGATTGAAACAAAAACAAGCAGATTAAAAGAAAGTAAAGATGTGCACCATGAGACGATGTGTTCTGGGACTACCTGTACGCTTCCCCATCAGTCCATAAAAGCGAAGGGCTTTGGATCTTTTCATCAGACTTTCTATCGGGGTGCTCAGACCGCCGTCCACCGACTCCTGTCAGAAAAATGGAATGGTTACGAGTACAGTCATTGATGTGATGTAAACATTTAGTTCTCAGTGGTTAATCCTACCTGCCAGTCATCAGAACCCCCTCGCTCCTCTGCACTGAAAGATAGTCCCCAACAGATTTGAATCAGAGCACAAAAAGTCACAACGACCAGCTGGATTTTCCAATTTTCCATGTTTTAATCAGGAAGAATTGTCTTCTGTCTCTTGGAAGAAAAAAACCCCAAAGTAAGTGACGGTGTTGGGAGAATGGTCTCCAGTGGTCGTCAGTCGTTGGTTCCAGTCAAACCCGGCTGTATTTATAGCCACCACCCCCATCCTGAACCCCTCCCCTCTAATCACACTTGCATGTTCTCCTTTAGGTATCACCATATTTGCACTGATATGAAGAAAACCCTTAATTTAATTAATATTCTACATTTTAACCAATGATTTAAAGGTTTACAAGCAGACAAGAAAAGATGACGCCAAAGCTCAAATATTTGCATGAGATTGGTGCCGTTCATTTCCATTTTTATTAGACCCCTGGATATTTGTCGTCATGTGATGTGCTGCTTTGATATCCCAGAGAAACGGGTGGGACAGATGGGTACAGTGTCTTTGAGTCAGACTCTGCAAACAACCCCATCGTCTTTGAAGGGTTTATTGGTTTTCCTGCTGTTGACTTGTATTGCTGCCTTACCGGATCACCATCTGATGAGTTCAGGTTGCAGAGATGTTGTATTTTAGAAGAATGTGTCAAATAAGGTGTACATGATCCAAAATGCAAAAACATAATAGCTTTTTATGCTATATTAGCTTAGTTTTTGTTTCTCAAGACCACTACAGCATTATTAAACCTTTAATAAATGTGCTCTCGTCCTCCTAAACTCCAGCTATAGAAATGTCTGAAGTGGCAATTACCAGACGATCTGTGTGCGGTAAGGACAGCCGCTTGAAACAAAGCTGACACAAACATCAGATGCTTTGATCCCACTGCACAGGTGCTTCCAGAACCAAGAAAAGCACAGAACAATTAAGCCTGAAAGGCAATTACGCCTGAACAGCCCCCTCCACAATCTAACCCAACACTGTAACATGGAGAGCTGAATCAAAAGGAATCAGAGGCACCGCATCTGCATATGAAACGGCTGAGTTACAAAGAGCTCCTGTAATGACAGGACGCTGCAGTTCCATGTGACGCAGTAGGGAGACGGGTCAGAACTTCCATCTCGTTTACATACAAACTCTGAAGGGAAAACAAGGGAAAAGTACAAATGGAGACTGCTGGATTTTTAACTGTCTTTTCAGTCATCTGGTTTAATTAAAGAGACAACCTGAAATAAGCTCCTGTAATGACGCACTGAACAGATTTGTAAAATCATTAGACAGCATGGGATAAACTTCCACTGTTATGCTGACGATACTCAGTTATATCTATCCATTAACCCTGATGAACTTAATCGGTTGGGTAGATTACAGGCTTGTCTTGAAGACATAAAAAATTGGATGACTCAAAACTTTCTGCTTTTAAATCAAGACAAAACTGAAGTTCTCATCTTTGGACCAGAAATTCAGAAAAAGAAATTGCTTAGTCAATCACCTGATCTGAATGGCATTACATTAATCTCCGAGAACAAAGTAAGGAACCTTGGTGTTATCTTTGACCAGGACATGTCATTCAAATCCCACGTTAAACAGGTTTGTAGGATTTCCTTTTTCCACCTTTGTAACATTGCTAAGATTAAAAACATCATTTCCAGGAGTGGTGCTAAAAAACTAGTGCATGCATTTATTACATCAAGACTGGATTACTGTAATTCATTACTCTCAGGAAGTCCACAGAATGTAGTTAAAAGTCTTCAGCTTGTCCAAAATGCTGCAGCTAGAGTTCTGATGAGAATTAAAAAGAGATCATATCTCTCCTGTCTTAGCTTCCCTACATTGGCTGCCTGTTAAATTCAGAATCGATTTTAAGATCCTCCTTCTCACATATAAAGCTCTTATCTGCTAAATGAGGAAAAAAAGAGCCTTCAAGGAGGGAGACAGGGAATCATTGAGGAGTATACAGAAGCAACTGAAGATCAAGATCAGAGACAGCAAGGAGGCATACAGGAAGAAGCTGGAGAACAACCTACAGAGGAACAATATCAGAGATGGCTGGTCAGGGATGAAGAAGATCACAGGCTTCAAGAAGAGGAAGAATTGCACAGATGGCAGCCTGGACACAGCCAATGAACTGAAAAATTCTTCAGTAGGTTCAGTTCAGGAAGAAACCCAGCATTCTCCTCGCCTGTCCCCAACCAATCAGACATCCCATCCTCCTCTGATCCAACATTTCCCTGTCACACGTCAGCTCTTTTGTCCTCTAACACAGTCATGGACTCTTCTGGTTCTATAAATCTGTCTTCAACCAAGTCAGTAGATGCTGCTGCCCCATTTACCTCCCCCTTCCACCTATCTGTCTCTAGAAGTCAGGTGAAGAGGCAGCTGGAGAGACTGAACAGGAACAAGGCTGCAGGTCCAGATGGCGTCAGCCCCAGAGTACTGAAGGCCTGTGCAGAGCAGCTCTGTGGGATTCTGCAGCACCTCTTCAACCTCAGCCTGGCCCAGGAGAAGGTTCCAGTCCTGTGGAAGACATCCTGCCTTGTTCCAGTTCCAAAGAAAACTCTCCCATCAATCAATGATGACTACAGACCGGTTGCCCTGACGTCCCACATCATGAAGGTCCTGGAGAGACTCCTGTTGGTCCACCTGAATAAGCAAACTAGAACATATCAGGGCCCGCTGCAGTTTGCCCATACCATACCATACCATACCATACCATACCATACCATACCATACCATACCATACCATACCATACCATACCATACCATACCATACCATACCATACCATACCATACCAACTTTATTTATAAAGCACATTTAAAAACGGCATGGCAGCCGACCAAAGTGCTGTACAGAATAAAAAGTAAAAACACAATATAAAACAATGCACGGTCAACAATAAAATACACAACAAAGCAGATAATCACGGTCAATAAAAGACACATAGTAAAATAATAAAAGTCAGGGATTTAAAAATACCTGGTCGTAAAAGTGAGCCTTAAGTAGCGACTTGAACCGGAGGAGGGATGGTGCCAGCCTCACTGACAGAGGAAGAGCATTCCAGAGTGTCGGAGCAGCACAGACAAAAGTACGCTGCCCCCGCGTTTTGTATTTCATCGTTGGAACGCGAAGCAGCAGGCAATCAGCAGATCTCAACGCCCGGTTTGGCACATAACGAGTCACAAGATCAGACAGGTAATCCGGAGCCAGACCGTTCAGGGCCTTAAAAACAAAAATCAGGATTTTAAACTTGACTCTGAAGTTTACGGGTAGCCAGTGGAGCCGCACCAGTACAGGTGTGATATGGTCTCTTCTAGGGGTGTTTGTTAAAAATCTGGCTGCCGCGTTTTGTGCGACCTGAAGCCTGTTAAGAGCGGAGGAAGGTAAACCAATTAAAATGGAATTTGCATAATCCAGTCGGGAGATGATAAAAGCATGAATTACACATTCCAGGTGTGCTCGTTTCAGGATCGGTTTTAAGCGAACTAGTCTGCGCAGCTGATAAAAACACAATTATCGCCATGGAGTTGGAGTTGAAGATGCCATCATTCAGCTGCTTCAACCAACCCACTGTCATCTGGACAAAGCAGGCAGCACTGTCAGGTTCATGGGGGAGTACAGGGAGGTGGAGTGTACAGTCGGTAAAGACGGCTCTCCCTTGCCCTGCCTCCAACATGCCTCCATCTAAAAGGCTAGGTTATCCAGAGTTATCTCTGTAGTTATGCTGTTTTAGGCTTAGACTGCTGGAGGATACACTGACCACTTTTCACACTCTACTACTTTCGTCTACAATCTGCTCTTTAACTGTATTACTTTCTGCAATTTCAGCTGTTAACTTTATTTTCTCTCTAAGTGTTTTTCTCCCCAGAAGAAGCTACAATGATGTTCTGCTGAGCTGTGGTAGCCTCATGGTGGGGGCCATCGGCTTGAACACTGTTGCTAACCACTTAAACATTCTCCTTCTCCTTTTAATAATATTTTGCTTTCTTTGACATTGGATGTGCTACTGCTAGTTTACCCGTTTAATTATAGATTCACTAGGATAAATACAATAAAGTTTATCTCTCACCAAATAGAATATTTACTTAGAAATCACAATATAACCACAGAAACACTACTTGGTACCAGTATATATGTTGTGTGTGTGGATGTGTGCGTGTGTGTGTGTGGGTTGGTGTTGGTGTATGCGTGTGTCTGCTGTGTCTTCTCGATCCCCAGTGAGTCGTGGTGAGTGGCTGCTTATACTGAGCCAGGATCCTCTGGAGGTTTCTTCCTGTTAAAAGGGAGTTTTTCTCTCCACTGTCGCTATATGCTTGCTTAGTATGAGGATTGCTGTAAAGTCACTGACACTAGTCAGTGACTTGATGCAATTTGCTGGGTTCCTTATACAGGAAACATTTTTCTGATTGGCTTAATGAACTGACCTGTACTGGAATGTTTATCATGTGAAGTGCCT